AAGCGTTTTGGGAGGGTCAAGACAAAGAATGTTTTTACTAAATGTATTGATTTGTTAGGAGACTATGTAGAAAAATAAATTATTATTTTAACTTTAATTACCGTGTTTTATTTTCATTATCATTACTTTTGGATCACCCCTCGTATACATAATTAAAATCTAATTAAATTTATTATTTGTTGCCAACATTTGTTACAGATATAATATTTGATTACTTTATTATTTAACTAACTTCCACCAACGATTTTTTCCGTGCAGAACAAATAACCTGTCGAATTAATAAGTCATCTTTGAGCAAGTAGCACACATATTGAATAACCACTTTTAACAGTTTTTTACTATTATCTCGAAAACTATGTGAAAAATATAAAAAATGTAAGGACAATTTAATTTTTTCGATTTCACAAAATATGCTGCATGTTTTTCGGATAATATAGCTAAGATCACTCCTGGCATTGCTCTGTATCTATTCGTAAAATTTTATCGCAATAGGTTCAGCTATATCGAAGATTAACCACGTGTGCATGCAAAGTAAGCCAAAATTTTTAAAAATGGTTATTCATGTTTCTGCAAATAATCACCTGACTGAAAGAAGGAGATTTGCTTTATTAAAAATATAATAAACATTTTTACGGATTTAATTGCGAAAGTAAACCCGATTAAATCCTTAAAAATATAGGTACTAGAAACGGTGATGAGTGAAAAAGGTAAAAAATTGAATGATCAGTCATTTCACCATTTTCAAATGCGTCAATACAGTTGTAGCAAGAATATAACGCAAGTTGTCGCACTTAAATTACGTTGCTTGGTAAATTATACTTAAGACTATAAATTATTGTGTTTAAATGGGCGGGATGGTTCAGTCTTATATTTAAATGTGATTGTTATGACACATACATGTAAAGTTAATTATATAATATATGCATACAAGGTAAACATTAATTAAAAAATATAATATTGTATGTGTAAGTCACATATTGTGGAATATTACATATTATTCAAATCGAAACTTAGATCACAAGAACCAAATCGGCCTTTTTTTAATGATCATTATTCATGTAATAAGAATAATTTATTCAATACAGTTATCTGCATGACATTGCAAGGCTAGAATGGACTAAACTTGTCTGGTAAATAATTCCCCTATATGAACATAAATACATACAAACGTGATAGATTGATGAAGAGATATGAATAGAGGAGAACCAAGCACTAAACGCGATCAATATTATTAACTATTAGTCACAGATTATACAAGACGAGGTTCAAGAGATTTATATGGAACACTGAATAAAGTATGTAAATAGCCATAAAAAATGAGTGATAAGAGAATAACTTGACAACTCAAAGATTTATTTGTCCATTACTACTTCTGAAGAAGATCTAAGAGGATATTTTGACCAATAAGCGTAAATATCTACAATAATTTTTTGTAAGCTTTTTAAATGTTACTTATGTGACCAATAAAAATTAAAGATGGGCCGAATATTCGGCTAAATCACCGAACATTCGTGAAAGTGGTACTCAAAGTATCCACTGTATTAAAATGTACGAATTGAGTATTGCCACGTCTTTCATAATTTTACTGTTGAAAGTATATTTATTTATGGGTTAAATCTACTTGTATAGCATTATGTTTGTGGGGCACTGTAGATTTATTTCCAAAAAATATATAGCAAATAGAAAGCTTAATATTTTTTTTTGAATCAAAGAAACATTACATTAGTACATTTCACTTTGCTTCAGTCGTCAATTTCTCTAAAATAAGTCCAAATATTAGATATCCTGCCACTGATTTTTATCATATAATTATCAATTTTCACTAAGAATAACACAACGTAATACTTTTTTTTCTCACAAAAATAGTCCAACGATAAGCTAGCCAGGTGTGGCGGGAGAACATCCCGCGCGCTTTACGGTAACAAGTTTTAACATAAATTGGTTAGGTACCGAGATGATTTTGCCGAATAATGTTCGGCCGAATATTCGGTTCGGTAAAAGTTATACCGAACTTTCGGCCGAATTTTCGTATTGGGTGAAATCTATATTCGGCCTATCTCTGATAAAAATATGGGTTAAACATTAAATATATAAATGTCTTTTCAAAAATCGAAACACAATAAAAATAATAGCTACTAAATATTAATAAGAAAAGTTATGTTATCATTTTCCTCTATACTTCTACTCAGGCGCGGTCCGAAGGGCCCTCCCCTCCTCCTATAGATGAAAACAGGGGACCCCCCCCCCCCTCCAAAAATCGAACTCGTCAAATTAAAAAATCTAAAAGTTTACAAAATAAACAGACAATTTTCTGCCCCTAGCCGCGATGCATTTTATGTTTTGCCAACATCTAACGGTGCTTTTATAAACTAAGATGTCCATAACATACTAGATGCGACATCTAGGTAGGCAACAAAGAACTATGTAGTTCTGGTAATCCTAGCAAAGTCGATATGAGTCGTTGTAGTAAAGATTGCATACAATATTCTACCTACGTAATTTTTTGGTTTATTGTAAAGATACTTAAGATAATAAGTGCTTTTACATGGTTGTGAATGTTGTGACAGTAGTTGTGTAAAAATAATATAATTCGAGGGGACTTTGTTTTATTTTACGATGCTTATTCAGAAATGTGATGCATAACGATCAGAAGAGGCTTACAGGTGTTGCTTTGGCGCATATTGTCATATATCTCCGCATGAAATTTAGCTTGGATTTATCAAACTGCGTTGGAATTGGCACACATAGCTGCTACGTTATGGTCTGTGAGGTTAAAGGAGCTCCAGTAAGCGAACTAACTAAAACTGTTACCCAAGCCTAAAAATGCCCTCGTAATAATCATATCCTCAATAACTCTTTAGCAAAGTCACCGAATGTCATTAGTTGCAGAAATGCATCAGCAACAATGAAAAAGATAGTGGATTTGCTTACGCCTTAGCCAAGAGCAAGTTTTTAACTAACTGGGAAGTTTATGTGACACGCGATGGGTAGAACGTAAGGGGACTCATTGGTGAAAATATGTGACTAACTTAAATTTCAACCTGACGAGACAACAAATCTGCAGCTGATGCTAATTGCTTACGACATGCTTTATGCAGTCCAGATTTTTTTATCGCATCTATTTGCTTATCCGATTTACTAGGTAAAAAGACTTTATCTTTGTTTGTACACTTGTTATTTATTTTATCTATATCTATTCTTAAAATTTGAGGTGCAACTGTTTCGCTTAGTCGGTTACTGAAAACAACATTAGATTTAAAGGTAACATCAGATGCTCTTAAAGATACAATGGACGTTTTGCTACGTAAACGGGAAAATGCTGAAGGAAATTTTCAGAACTTATAGTTATAAGGCTACTCTGGTTCTCGTGGCCGTACTAAAAAGATTATATTACTTTCTATGACATTCATCACAACCTTATACATGATTAAAACTTAAGAATTTGATATGTACCTAAATGTATTTACATTTATACATTTAGGTACATATCAAATTTTTAATATTTCATACTTCATTTTTTACTTTTTAATTAAATATTTATAAAATGTAAAATTCTGGTTGAACATATACAGATGTAATTTTAATAAAAATTTGCATTCAGTATGTATAATTTTAAATAAGCAGAGGTAATTATCGGCTTGTATAGGTATTCTATATACAAAATTTAAACCCGGAATTGTCCTGCCAGTTAATATCATTGGTTGTGTTCAGCAACGTTTTATTTTATTTTAGTGCATGCAATTTAATTTATTAATTGCCGCGTTTGATTAAAAAAAAAGCAAATACAATTAAAAATTTTAAGTTTTGTTCTTTCTAAAAAGTCGTCTTTTTTCATTTTTTATGTTTATAAACATAAACCTTCTACATGAAAATTACATTATATATTTTTGTATTGTTTGTTTATATAATTTTGTATTATTACATTTTATATTATTGGTATATTTAGAGATGGGCCGAATATTCGTTTTATATTCGGTATTCGGCTAAATCACCGAATATTCGTTTAGTTTAGTTTTCATTGTGTCCAATGTATTGAAATGTACGAATTGACTAATGCGATGTCCTTTACTGTTGAAAGTGTATTTTATTTATGGGTTAAATCTACTTACTCTAGAGTGTAAGTGTAGTAAATATCAAATGTATAAATCTATACATTTAGGTTTTTGAGGCACTGTAGATTTATTTCCGATTATGGCAAATAGAAACTTGATAAAATGTTTTTGAAATCAAACAAAGAAACATTATATTACATTAGTACATTTTCTTTACTTTGGTCGTCAGTTTCTCTAAAATAAGTCCAAATTGTAAATCTCCTGCCGCTCATTTTTATCATATAGTTATCAATTTTAACTAAGAATAAAACAACGAAATACTTCTTTATCAAAAGAATAGTCAAAACATAAGCATGTGCTGGCAATTTGCTCAGTACTAGATGATGCAATAACTGTCAGGTGTGGCGGGGAGCGAGAGGCAGGGTCCGGCACTAATCCCGTGCGCTTTACGGTAACAAGTTTCGACATAAATTGGTTGGGTCCCGAGGTTATCCTGCCGAATAATGTTGGGCCGAATATTCGGTGCGGTAAAAATTTTACCGAACATTCGGCCGAATATTCGTATTCGGTGAAATCCATATTCGACCCATCACTAATATATATATATATATGTGTGTGTGTGTGTGTGTGTGTGTGTGTGTGTGTGTGTGTGTGCGTGCGTGCGTGCGGGCGGTCGGGCGAGCGTGCGTACGTACGTGCGTGCGTGTGTGTGTGTGTGCTTGCGTATATATATATATATATAAAAAAAAATATATATATATATATATATATATATATATATATCAATGTTTATGGTGATTCATCAAATAGATTTTAAGTTAATCGATTTCATGTATACAAACATCCAGTTATATGTACAGATATAGATATATTACATCCTATACATAGCCCTATACTACTCTGTGTCATTTAGGCAAGATATATGATATGGAAATTAAGGTAAAAATCTTAATTTCCACAGCATGTCATAACATTTCGTTCCTTGTAAGCCCTAAGAGCAGTATATACCGTAATAATTATCCATAGGCTTACTGCTATCCAAGAAGTAAAGATCGCAATCTGTAAAGCAACGCCAGTGTTGATGAAATCGCCACGCTGACTGTCTGGTGCATTTTTTTGTATATAATCCATAAAGTCTAATATTGCTTGGCAACTTAATCGAAACAGCATGGCAGTAGCTTCATCACCAGCAGCTTTGGTTTCCTGCAAAGTATAGTAAGTATAGTTTCAGAGAGAAGCAAGCTTTATACAGCAGAACTAAAGGTCATTAATATATACAAAAAAAAATATTTAAAGTAGTATCCAAGACATGACTTTTTGAATTTCGATTTTCAGGGTAAAATTTGAAAAATATTTTTCTTAGTAAACTTTAAGTATCTTGGATATGAAAAAATGTATGAAAGCCTGAGTGACCAATTATTTTATAATTTTATGAGTTTAAAGTAGATTTCAAAATGTTAAAATTTATTGAGTCAATTTCAGTAAATCACGAAATATGCAATATTAGGTAATTTTTACCATTAAATTGTACAAACAACATTTGACATTATTAAAACTTTTATTTTCGTTACAATAAATGTTCAAATTATTAGCCAACTTAGCACTTCTGAGCAGTCACGTATCGCGCTGCTCGTTTATTTTTGATACAGATCCTTATTCATGGCTGCATAAATCTTCTAATGATCTTATAGGTCTTTTTATACCTCTTTTTAGCAGGCCTGTGCCAGTGTGGGAATATTCGAACCCAAGATACCCAAATAAATGAATTGGTCATCTGGGGCCAATTTTTTTTGTATGGACATTAGTCCTGTTGCAAGCCATTTCAGATTATCTATTAATTACCGGACACACAATATATTGTAGCCATTGATCATATTATTATTCACTTTACAAAAAAAAACGCAAATTAACAATCACTCTTTAATATGAAATAAATAGTCTATGATAAGTTTGTTATGTCATCTGTGCGGTTGGTAGTCTATATGGTTTACGGATGGGCCCAAAATGGGCATCAACATTGGGTTCGGAATCTATAGACAACAACCCAAATTTGAACTTTGTATGTATTCAGAGAAATTCACCTTCATCATGCAAGCAGAAATTTACGCCAAAACCAAAACGAGTACTTCCTTTTTATGTACTGATTCTGAACCATAAGGGAAGAAACAACTCTGCACATCCTAACAGTGGACCCTAAATATGCAAACATAACACTCATCTAGGAAACTATGTACCTAGCCCAAAAGAAGTGAAAATGCTCACAGCTAAGCAACTCCTTCAATTTATTGAAGATATAGGGTTAAGTAGTATACTTGTACTAAAGCCATAGTAGTAATTACAATAGATCATAACAAATGACAGCACAAGTGAAACCTATACACATTGTTTGGGAGGATGAGGCACCCTTTTTGCTTATAAGCAACGACATGCCGATTGTCTCTACATAGGGCAGGCTGCTCAAGTTTTTTAGATTTTTAAAACTCAATGGAGATTAGCCATTTCGGCAGAACCAGATTATAATATACAAGTCCGTGCAACCACGAGTGCACTCTCTATTCCCTTAGTCTCATAGGGCAGTAATCTGACATGACCAGAGATCAAGGTTTATACTTTCCGAGGCAAGTGGGTAAAACACCATCTTCCTGATTTCAGGCTGCCATTGATAATTTCTTGAGAAATAAACCCAATAAATAATTTTCGGCCCCACATTGAGATCCAAATTCAGGATCTCATCACCAGCAGTTGTGCTTACAACCATTAGATCATTTGAATCAGTTGCAATTTGAATACATAAATTTCGCGGCATTCTTATGTTCCTATTTTTGCATTCAGGTATAACACACCAGTGATGAAGAAGATAACTCATTATTTTACATCCAAAAATATCTTATTCCTTTGCAAAATCTGCGAATTCCAAGTACAGTGACGTCACAAGCTTAACAGCATGGTAGCTAGCGTTTCCGCGCGAAAATTTTAAACGATAATTTAAAAGTAATTTAATGGCATTATTCCGTTTAAAAAAATTATAGTAGTTCATTATCACTCTAGGATTCATTTAAAACACTATTTGAAAATGGGTGTTATACCCTATTTTTATTCCCTTATATGTAATAGTTTCAAGTAAAACAAGTAGAAATATGTCTAGTGTGACATATTATAGGACTCAAAATTCTTTAAGTAAACCTATGGTAAAAAAGTAATCACTCTACCAAAAAAATAACTTAAAACTGGTTAATGAACAACTCAATAGTTAATGAGTCTAAAAACAATAATTAATGAGTCTAAAACTAAATATTATTAATTTACCTTAACTAAATGTCCTCGATACTGAAAACATGTTTTCAAAAAACCATCTGTGATAATAATAGCATGAACCAAATTGTATATCCCAAATATTGCAGCAATGCATGATGTAGGTATCCAACAATATATGACTGCATCATTGTGTTGAGGTATCCTAGCTCTTGAAGACACAACAATGGTTTCACCTTCTCTAAAATCCAATAGGAATACACATAAAAATACATCTTTTATATGTAGAACTATGTTGAACTTTTATGGTATACTATAAGTGAACAATTCTAGTATGTAATACTAATTCTAGTATATAATATTATACTGATAATTAGTTGTAATGGTCCATTCTTTTATAATATTATCGGGTGACAGGAAAATATCAGGAAGTAACAAATATACAGTCAAATCTGGGTAAGTGAGAACTGGATAAGTGAGAAAAATTTATAAGTGAGAGTAATAGCCAGGACCCATCATTTTAAGCTCCTAAAACCTATATTAGCGAGAAACAGAAACCTCTCTAAGAGTCATTTTTCCCTCATGGACCTCCATAAGGGAGACTGCTACTTATCTATACGTCTATAAGCGACAGTCGAGATTTATTTATTTATATTATTTTGGGAGGAACTATAGCTACAATAAAAATACATACACACATAAAAGATACACACATACAGTAACAAATGACATAACAAATTACAAATTTAACTACTGCTATTTTATAACTTATTCTTAACTTTCGTGGAACTTCCTACCATTGTTTTTGTATTGTTTTCTCGTCAATATTGTACCTATTCTATATTGTGGAACTAAATAACGTTGTTATTTTATCGCATTCTTTTCGAATGGACATGTGTGCCTGTGTACCATCCTGTTTGTCAGACTTATTCAGTTTATAGTTAATCAATTGCGAAGGAAAGTTCTGTTCTGCATCATGTCAAAATGGAAAATTAACGTATTGTCATTAATTGATAAACTTAAAATAGTGAATGCGTTTGAATCCGGAAAATCGCGAAATGAAATTCACAGGGAGTTTAATTTACCAGAAAACCTATTATAAAATTATAAAATCAAAAGATACCCTTATAAAGTACTTATATGTCGAAATCTAATGAACGTAACATATACACACTATTAAAAATATATGTACATAATATATGTTGTGCATATTATTCACTAAATTTTATCATATTACATATTTACTACATTCGTACTTGCTGTGACTTGTTATTGCTGCGTACCTCTATAAGAGAGAAATGCTACCCATGTACCTGCATTAGCAAGAAACTCGGGTTAGTGAGAAACCTCTATAAGTGAGAATGAGATTGTGCTCCCTTAAACTCTCGCTTATCCAGGTTTGACTGTAAACAATGGAGTTATTAGCATTTTAATAGTTTTTTGATGTCAAATTTTCTATTTTGAAAAACAAATATTTCGAGTAATATTATTATGATGCTTTATATTCTATTTTTGTAACTATAAAACAATTTTATAGGAATATCGTTTTATTTAGGAATTATTTAATAAAAAATGTACTTATTGAGTTTTTCAAGGGAATGAATACATGAATGATTGAACTTAGTGGAACAAATAGTGTATAGAAATAAAAAAATAATAGTAAATAAAAACAGGAAAAATAATATTATTATTTTTTCTGTCAATTGCTTCAGTAATGTCTTCATTATTTAATTTGGTAATATTTATATTTTACTTTCCACTGTTTAACTAGGCCCAGCAGTGCGCATGCATTGTTGTAGCGCTCTGCCTGGCAGGGTCGCTATGTAATATTGCAAGGTGTTAAATGAGAAGGAAAAGTGTTGTCGCTTTTAATACTTTAATTATTCTGTCATTTTTATTCTAAACTAAACACTAATATAAATTGTTGTGTTTGGCTTTGGCTTCATTGGCTTCACTACAAGTTTCTGAAAAATGTCTATAATGACATAGAAGAGATTTTATATTACAATTTTGAAATTCAAGGTTAATATATAGGTTCTATTTCTGAAAAAATTACAATTTTTTCTAACACAAAACAGAGCAAAACAGTCACCCATATAAAGTTTACAAAATGTTAGTGTTTATGTAACAGTCATATTATGAATTTTGCATTATTTATATTTTTAATTTTCCCTTAATATGTAATTAAATAAAATATATATACTGAACCAATTTTAAACAATTATTTTATGTTATACTAGCTGTACTCACGACATCATTTACATAAATATTTTTGCTTAACTACAATTTTATAAACTACAACACTGAGTAGAATAAGACGGCTCCATGGTGCAGTTTTACATTGATCTTAGGTTGATGGTCAAATTCTATGAAAGCTCTGAAGAGGCACCACTTTTTCTGACTTAGTTGACAAATATCATCAAAGCTTTAGCCATAATTTATATATACACATAATATCTAACTATGTCCATCAGGAATAATGTACTTTTCTAATGGTGACAGAATTCTTAAGCAGTGGTTCCGGAGATTAAACTCCACATATATACAAAATCACAAAATTCGCACTCTCACTTTATTATATTAATATAGATTATATGGACAATAACCTTAATGCCACACCTTACTGTAACACAATTACTTATTTCAGCACCAAATTAGCAGTGCTTACATAGCTGTGTTCCCATATGTAGGGTATAGGCAGTAAAATTAAGTACAGGCGACATTCCATCTTAGTCCTCAGAGGTAACAGTGCAAATGTGGCCTTCTTGAGTTTTGGCGGGAACTTGGTTGTAGATGGATTGTCACTCTTCTTTTGTCACTTGAATAATGGTTTGAAGTGGATTTTGATTCGTAAAAGTGACATATGAACTATTAGAGAAAACGACTAAACAAGTGCTTTAATGTCGATATAAACCTGAAGTTATTTTGATCGCTTGGATGCCTTTATGAACTTGAGTGGCTGTCGTCATCAACTGTCCGCTAGGTTGAGCTGTCGTCAAAATCTCCCAAAGGCTTCGCAATGTGACACATCAGCATATTGTGAAGAAAAATAATATAAAATGAAGATTCCAAAAGAAAGGATAGGCTCAGAAGGGCTAGAAACCAGAGCCGTAAAGCCAGGTAATAAAAAAATGTGACCTTCTTTGTTAGTAGTTGGTTGAGTGTCAATGGCCAACAGTAGCCACATTCATCAGGTGAATGGTATGGATGTTACTCTTTTTAATTATTAAAAAAAATCCTTTACAAGCAATTATTACGTATTATAAAATAATATATAGATGCAGGATTTAAATATTTATCAAATAAGATATGGAATTAAAAATTATGTAAAACTTACATTTCATCTACTGTAGTAGATTTCTCGCCCTCATACTGTCCAGTATTATTGATGCATACTCTATACATATGAAATAAGGCCATTATCATTGCATATATTAAAATAGGCAATGGGGCAAATATAGCATATAAACAGTAAGCGTTGTGGCCACCACTAAAGTATGAATATAGGCTTATGCCATACAAAATGCAACCACAATTAGTATTTTCGAAATATCCACCAGGGCATACATCAAGAGTGGTGCGCCAGTGATTATATGGAATTGCAATACACACTACTGATATACTAAGCAAAACGGCCAACAGGCCATAACTCCAGCAAAGCCGCCTTTCCGTTTCATATTGATTCATATTAATAGCAACCAATAGGTCAAGTGCTTCTAAAATTGAAGATTATTTTTCAGAAATGATAAGTTACAAAATACTACAAAAACTAAATATTTATCTATTGCTATAATGAATGACGGATAACTAGGGATGACGATCTGAGACACAAATTATAAAGTTGATCTGAGATCGATTAATCGAAGAATCGGTTTCTTGTGCCAAAAAGATCGATTTTTAGTTTGATATATAGTAGTGAATCGATCCATTGAAACGGTATTTCACACTAGAAAATATTTTTCAGTTTTTATAAGAACTATAAAATGATTTACAATTAGTGGAATGTACCCAAAGTCGTAAAGAATAACAGTTTTCCTATTCAAAAACTCTCAAAACTGCTATGTGCACAGTTTCTTTTGTCGCTTCTTAATGACTTAAAGAAATAAAAAATAAGTTAAGTTTGTAATCTGTACTTTCTACAAGAAATTATGTAAATTATTGTCCAAATATTTTTTGTCTGCTTATCTGTTTCGACTTTCACAAGGTTCTCGTCTCGGGGGGGGGGGGGGGGGGGTTAAGGAATGGTAATATCGATCATAAATATCCCTAACTATGCCCGGTCCATCAGCACAATATCAGACATATTCGCAAGAATAGTCCTGTCTGTGATGATGGCCCGATCCCAGTATGGCCTGGTGCGGTCATTTTCGAGCATGGCTACCGGCAAGTACTTGTAATAAGGCAATTTCCGGTCCACGAGACCATACTGCGGTTCTGGCTACTAAGTTGTGTTTGTGAAAGTACTCAAAATTAGAAAGCCATGAACAATTGGAAATGACATGCCTAAGTGACTCACCGGGAGGGCAACAAGCTCAACAGATGTCGACGGAGCCGTCCTTTAGGATGTATCTCCGATAGTTATTGGTCTTAATAACCTGATCCTGTATTACACAGACAAAATCCTCGGTTTCCCCGAAGAGATCACTGAAACGTAGCCAGTGGAGGGAGGCAACTGTGTCTACGAAAAGCTCATAAAGAGCCTTGTAGAACCTCCCGTGGAGGTCCTTCTCCTTCCATACGGTCTCCCGATCGGAAATGGCCTGTACTGCCGGGTCTTGCCATCATTATTATTTAAATATTTTGATATTGTAAATATAAACTCTGAAAGCAAATCGAAAAAAAAACGATTTTTGAGAAATCGCTCTTTTAGACCACGATTTTTTTGTGAATCGATTTATCAGATATCAATTTGAATTGATTTAAAAATCGATCCTTTTGGGTAAGAATCGCCATCCCTACGGATGACCACTGACACGTATTATATCTCTATGATTGACACAGAAACCGTAGACCAGTAGACAGAGAAACCTATAGACAAATATCTATAATCTTGTTGAGTTCAGTTCTTAGAAGGATTAAATTTTTTATCTAAATAAGTTTAAAAGCCATAAAGATTATTATATAACCTAAAACTACGTTATCATCCTTTCTCACTCTAGGCCACGCTAATCATTAGTCTATAGGTTTCTCTGTCAGAAACATAATACATACAGTCCATTTCGCGCTTCGAGCATAGCAAATAGAGGAGATTGCAAGCCTACAAGAAAATCGTGTCAAATTCAAACCATGTAGGTTAGAGAGAAGGAGAACGATCGCTGTAGAAAATAGTGTCCCAGAAATATGAACAAAATAAGTGAGGCGCAGCGATCGCTAAGTTACCTCAATAACAGTCATTTTCAGTCTATTTTGCCGACAAGATTCTAAACCACTTGCACATCCACGCACAATAAAATATTTTACCATTTTTTAATGTTTCTTTTTGTCAAAAATTAAAAAATTACGGATCACGATTATTTTCTCACCAATGCGGTACATTATTCAACCAACTTCATCTACTTGTACTCATAAACAGCTAACTTCGCAGATACTACTTACTGACGGCAGTTCAGAGACAGGCGGGCTATGCTTTGGCGCGTAGCGATCTATCTTCTTCTTTCTCTGCATAAATTCAAACAATAAATGGTGGATGCTGTAAGCTCCGCTCATTTTTTTAGTGATGTGACAGACAATCAAATTTTAATAGGTACCTATAATATGTATTTTTATTTACTTATAACATGCAAAATTATATTTTCTCTAACGATTAGCGAGGCCAGACGATTTTGGCTAGACTTTAACCGCCAGTGGATTGTTGCTCCTGTTTAATCGGTTAAATAATAGTTTGAAGACGATTTTAATACGTAATGCACGGATTTTTTGGACTTGTTCTTGTAAATTAGCAAAGAAGTTACTCTGGCTTCATATACAGAATCATATAGCTTCATTTCTGGGCTAGTAAGTTACTATCTAAAGCTAAGATGGTTTAACAGGGTGGGTTTCTATTTTTGAGCTAGTAACACCAATTTTTTTTACTATTCTGGCTTGTGTACTAGCTTCGTGTAACCGATTAAGCTAGTATCTTTTTGAAGTGAAAACTCTTTTAGGATTGCGGTGATTTGAATGTTATATTTAACGCCGCACTTGTGGTTGAAAATTATCATAAATAAATTGCCTCGGCTTAGCATGGGTGATTTCTGGATTTTGGCAGTACACATGTTATACAAATAAATAGAAATTTATACAAATGTATCTCAGTAAATGTATATACAAGTAAAAGTAAACATATAAAATAAGTAGACTCAACTTTGTTGGCTACGGATATGTTCGAGTAGTTTTCTTTAAAAAACATTTTTGGCAGGTATTATTCGCAGGTCAACAGGCAACTTGTTTCAGAGGGAGATGGAAGTTACTGTGAAAGAATTTGACATAAACTCAGAATAGTGGAGAGGAGTAGACCATAATAAATTGTGTGAAGAACGAAAATTTAGAGAGAATGAGTGTCACTACGGAATTGGAATCTTTCTTTCAGATAAAGGGGTGAGGAAGAATCATTAAGAAGTGAAAACAGAGTGGACAAGATTCGAAAATCTCTGCGCTGGCGTATAGTAAAACATTTTAACTTGGAGCGAAATTCTGATACGTGATCGTATTGGCCAAAGGCTAAAGATGAATCGTATGCAGTTGTTAAGTAATCTGTCCAACCTGTTTAACAGCTCCTGAGAAATATTAGTGAGACACACATCGGCATAGTCAAATAATGGAAGAATTAAAGATTGGATGAGTAGAAGTTTAGTTGAAGGGGGCAGAAAGAACTTAAGACGATAGATGGAACGACGTATGCCTGTGACTTTACGACAAACCTCTGACACCTGTAATATCCAACTTAGTGACGGGTCAATAATTAAACCCAGATCCTTGACACTAGTGCGAAAGGGAATTACACTGTTTTCGTAGCAAATTGATGGTGGATCAGGTATGTTACGTTGTGACACCAATCGACGACTACCAACAATGATAGCCTGTCATTTACTGGGATTAACCGTTATACCAAAGCGCTGTGACCAGTCTGAGATGCATTGTAAGTCCTGATTTATAGCTGTAATAGTGGTTTCAATTTCAACCGGGGATGCTTGTGAATATAACTGGACATCGTTAGCATAAAGGTGGTAAGAACATTGAAGGTGGGTAGTTAGAAGATTGATAAACACTGAAAAAAAGAGAGGAGAAAGAATGCCGCCTTGCGGTACACGTAGAGACAGATTGCACCAGTCGGATAAATCCTGACCAGAACTAACAGCATGTTGGCGACCGCGAAGATACAAGGAAAACCAGTCCAGTGCTGACGAGGAGAAATTTAGACGTGAAAGTAATTCAAGGAGTAAGTCGTGATGAACACAATTGAAAGCGTTTGAAGAGTCAATAAGGACAAGAACAGTCAAATATGACCTCTCCATGCCCTCCCTGATATCGTCTGTAACTTGAAGTAACGCTGTGGTGGTACTATGTTCCGGGAGGAAACCAGACTGATATATACTAAGGTAGTTGCATTTTGAGATGAAAAAGCTTTTAGCCATAACTTGGGGAAAACACCAGTAGAAAGTGAGAAATTTATGATGTGAGTGAAAATTGGAGTAATAATATCAAGTATGAGAAGTATCATAGTTCTACTCACCTCATAATAGCCGGTTACGGAAGAGTTTATTGAAAGTATGGCTTTTCTAGTATCCTCATCAGTCACTAAACTGAAGTTGAAAGAATTACACGATAAAAAAGGCATGGAATTAAGTTCCTGGAGAGTCGTAACTTCAATTTATCCTATTTTTTGATTTGATTTTGTTTTAAGAATGATGTTCGTTTTTTTTACGTATATAACGTATGTTGTCCAAGTAACTGCATCAATACTGCCTTCAAATTTCAAAAGTCCATCCAGCCGAAATGAGAACTGATCCACCCCAAGGGCTAAGATGGTACGCATCGTTACCAGTAAAAATGACCTCTGTTATCTACACTAATCATACTTAACAAAGAAGCATAATTCTGCTGTATCGTGAGTGTATTCTGTGAGAGCGTATACTTGCCACTGCCGAACCTAACCGTTCGTGCTGTAGCTAGGTACATTAAAGCAGCAAACGTAGTTCAACCTCAGTAAATAATACGCCAACCTCGAAAATTCTCAAATTGTTGAATTTAATTAACAATTTCCGTGGTGCAGGTGAATTCTAGGCACTCGCATACATTCAAATTTAAGGCGTGTATTAAAATTTAAGCTGTGGTAGTTCTTTATTAAAAATAATATGAACGTTTATCAATTAGACAAAGCGGAGTAAAAACTCTAAATTATAAAAAGGTGCGGATGCCAAACCGCCTGCCAACTATGGTATCTATGGAAAAATGCCCTATGAGGCAATCTATAGGGGAGACCTAGGTACAGCAATGGACTTTTAGAATGTAATGGATGGATGGATGGAGTAGGAAAATAAATTACATTTTTGTTAGCAAATATTGACAAAAAAGATAAACGAAATATATTATTTGGGCAGTTAGTGTCCTGCAAATTGTGAAGATTTTCTGCAAACCCAAAATCTATGTTTTTTTTTTGAACATCTTTAAAGACCTTTAACACCCCAACGGAGTTTCTAACTAACTTT